CTCGTCCCCCGCCCCCCTCTGCTCGCCTGTGCTCCGTACCCCCCCCCCCCCTCCCCTTCCAGGGATGGAACCCAGGAGTCCTGGCTCCCTGCCCCTCTGGGAGGGGTTTGGCTGTTGCTCAGAGACCTGCCCCAGCTCCACACGACACCCCCACATCTGCCCTGGAGGGGCCACAGCACAACCGTGTCCTGCCCCTTTCACCACTGCAGGGCACTGTGTGGGGGAAGGGCACACAGCAGTGACTCAGGCCACGCCTCCAGAGAGACTCCACCCCCCCACAGGTGGGGGGGAGAGAGAGAGAGAAATGCTCAGGGAGCCCATCCCAGTACTGGGTGGTTGGGGGCTAGGAGGGTGGCGCGGTTTGTGTGTGGGGGGGTCACAGCAGGAGAAATTCCTGCCCCAACCCTTCTGTCTTCTCCCATGAGCCAGGTCCTTTTCCACCCCCTGCATGGAGCAGGGCAAAGCCTACAGGGAAACTGAGGCACAGACCACCACCCCCGAACAGACACCAGGAGGCATGGTCACTGCTCTCTCTTTATTGAGGTGCGGCTGCAGGGGCCGGCTCGGTCCCCCCGTGGCTGGGCCCAGCTCAGCCCTCGGAGAACTGGCGGTAAAGCACCTCCTGGCGGGCGTCGGCGAAGCGTGGCACAAAGTGAACACGCAGGATCTGGGCAAAGCCCTCGCTCAGCGATGGCTCCACGAACTTACTCCTGGGGGGGGAGAGGGAGGCAAGGGGTTAACGGGCAGAATCCCCCCCCCCCCGTCCACTAGGGCCCCCCCACCCCCACACTCACTTGTAGCTGTTCAGCACGATGTCGGTGACGGAGACGTGGCCCGAGGCCGTCAGGTCCCGGAACTGGAACCAGAAACGAGCTCTTGTCACAGGGGACAGGGGCCCGGGGCCCATCCCCTCTCGGGGGCCCCGGCTCCCATCCGGCCCCGGGGCAGGGACTGGCTGGCTCAGGGGGGCAGGGAATGGGATACGGCTCCCATCCGGCCCCGGGGCAGGGACTGGCTGGCTCAGGGGGGGGGCAGGGAATGGGGCCCGTCCCCTCTAGGGGGCGCTGCTCACCCGGTTGTTGTGCTTGGCCTGCTCCAGTGTGGCAGTGAAGAGGAAGCAGCGGCAGGGGACCCCGGCGTCCTGGGCACATTCAATGTACCTGAGAGGGAGGCAGAAAAGATGGGGGGAGGGGAAGACAGTAGTTCTCTCCCCGGCCCCCCCATGGGCCCTCCCCTACCTGCGGCGAGACTCGGGGTCGGGGTTGGTGTTGTCCACGGCTGCGCTCTTCCCCTGGCGCAGTGCCGCCGCCACCAGCGCCACACACTTCTGCCAGGAGCCCAGCGTGTCCTGGGGGGAGGAGGGAGGTTAATGGGGGGAGCCCAGCCCCTGCCGGCAAGGAGGGGTGCAGCCCCCCGGCCCCCCCTTACCCGGTTGGCGTAGGCGTAGCCCGCCGGCACCAGCTGGCTCTTCAGGAAGGTCGACTTGCCTGCTGTGGGGAGGAGAAGGGGGGTGTCAGTGCTGGGGGGCAGGGAGGAGGATCGGGGGGCATGTGGGGGGCGTCAGACTCACCTGCAGGGAAGCCCACGGCCACCACCAGCTCGGGCGTGGGGGACACCAGGGGAGCGTCGGGGGGGTCGTAGAGGTTCCCCTGGGGGTCCAGCTCCCGCTGCAGGGAGAGATTGGGCGGGTTAGACAGCCCCCACAGTGGGGGGGGGGAAGGGGAGCCCCATGGGGTGTGAATGGGGGGGGCACTCACCGGGTCAAAGGGGGGCAGCTGATAGGGGGCGGGCGCCCAGCCCAGGAAAAACTCCTCAGGGGTGTAGAACGGCAACCCGGCGTTCAGGGCAAACTGGGGGGACAGGAGAGACTGTCAGAGGGGGGGTTGGGAGAGCAGTGGTGAGGCAGCGGCTGGTGGGGGGTGGGGCAGGGACTGGGGGAGGGGAACGGGGTTGGGGCAGAGGGCACTAGAGTGGTGGGGGGACAACGGGGTGAGGGGAGCAGAGGGGGAGTTTGGGAGGATGGGGATATGGGAGTGTGGCAGGGAGCTGGGGGGCCGGCAGGGGGTGGGGATGTAGTGGGGGGCCGGCAGGGGGTACCAGGCGGTCGCTGCTGGAGAAATCCTTCTTCTTGTGCCCAGGAGCCCAATTGGGGGGCCGCCCGGCCGCGTCTGAAAGAGAACATGGGCAGGGTTAGAGGGAAGATCAGCCCCGCTGCGCACCCAGCCCCCTCGACCAAGATATGGGGTTGACAGTGGCAACCCCCCCCCACTGCCCCCAAACCACCGCCAGGTGTGTGTGGCGGGGGTGACAAAGCGGGGGATTGTCCTAGTGTTGTGCATGAACACGGTGTGTGCCTCAGTTTCCCTGTGCGCTGGGGGCGTAACGGGGGGCAGCAGAGGGGGGGTCGTTGCTGCAGGGGACCCTGACGACGGCCTGGCGATGGGGGACCCAGCGACTGGTGCCTGGGAGGCCCCCCAGCTTGGGAGCAGCCGGGTCGGGCCAGGGGCCCTGCTGACTGGACCAAGGCCAAAGGGCAGTGTGGGGCCTGTGGGGGAGGTGATGTAGGGGGCCCAGCTGGAAGGAGGGGGGGCTGTGGGGAGGGGATATGGGGCTGCCCCTCCCCCACTCCCCCCCGCAGACCCTCACTCACCTCCCACGTAGACGCTGCTCTTCAGGGCCACAGACGCAGCGCCGTTCGCCTGGGGAGGAGGGGGGGGTGTCAGACCCATGGGGAGAAAGGGGGGGCTGGCTGAGGCCCCGCCCCCTGTCCCCACCCCCTCCCCTGCCCCCCGACAGCAATTGCGGCCCCCGTGGACCCACGGCCGCCTGGCACTTGGCCGGGGCTGCATCTGCGCCGGCTGGTGCCTGGGGCGCCTCCCGGCACGGCCAGGCTCCCTCATGCCCACCTGGACTGCCAACCGTCTAATCGCGCAAACCCAAAGCCCCCCGCCCTGCCCCTTCCCTGAGGCCACGCCCCTGCCCCGCCCCTTCCCTGAGACCACGCCCCTGCCCCGCCCCTTCCCCGAGACCCCAGCCCCTGCTCGCTCTCCCCCACCCTCACTCACTTTCACCAGGCTGGGGTTTGGGGTCAGGCTCTGGGAGGGAGTTTGGGTGCGGGGGCTGGGCTCTAGGCTAGGGCAGGGAGTTGGGGTGCAGGAGGGGGGTCAGCCCCCAAAAGCAACCAGTACCCCCTGCCCCAGCAGCAGCTCCTAGGTGGGGAGCCCAGGGGGTCTCCTCGCACTGCTGCCCACAGGCACCGCCCCCGCAGCTCCCATTGGCAGCAGTTCCCAGCCAATGGGAGCTGCGGAGTCGGTGCTTGGGGTGAGGGCAGCGCATGGAGACCCCGTTCCAGCTGCATCCGGGAGAGGCGCGGAGCAAGGGCAGGCAGGGACGCACCTTAGCTCTGCTGCAAGGGGCCCCGAGGCCCTGGGTAATTACCCCCTTTGCCCCCCCGCCCCCGCCCATACCTTCTCACACAGATACTCCCACATGCCCAGCAGCGGTTTACGGTAGATCCCGGTTCCAGTCGCCACGAGCACCTGGGGGGCAGAATGGGGTGTGGGGGGGGTCACATTCTGGTCACCGCTCCCCCCATCCTGACTATGGGGGACACCTCCTGAGACAGGAACGGAGCCCGCACCTGCCACCCCTCCCCATCGCGGGAGGTCACTCAGGGCATGGGGGGGCAGTCGAGGGGGGCCCTCCACAGGGGCTGCCGGGGGGGGGCAGGTCCCCGGCCCCGCTTAGAGATTTTCCCTTGCCTCCAACCCCCCACGTTCCCCTGCCTCCCAACCCCCCATCGACACCGGGAGGGGCCCCAGGATTCAGCGCCTGCAGCCCCCCTACCTGCATGGGAACCCCCAGTCGCTCCACCACGGCCTCCGCCTTCGCCTTGAAGACCTCGGGGCGCACCCGCCCCCGGCTGATCCCCAGCTGGTTGGTGAAGACCACAATCTGGGGGGGGGAGGGGGACACAGGTCAGGGGACAGTCAGAGTGGGGGGGGTTCCGGGGGAGGGGGAAAACGAACCTTGTACCCCTCGTTCTGTAGCTGCTTCAGCTTCCGGGGCACCTCGGGGTACAAAATCCTGGGGGGAGACATAGGGGTTACCCCAAAACAAT